GGATTTCAGAAACTTTATGGCATTCAGGACTTCTCCTTCTTTCGGAGAGTTTGTATCCACTAATAATTCCATGGCTGGAATGCTCGTGGTGTTGCAGGATGAGCTGCAGATGGTTGTGGCTGTCGATTCAACAGTTTTTTTGTAGTGGCCAGCCTATCGTTTCCTTTGTTTCTCCTCTTTGCTAACTAGGTTTACTCCACTGACTTTCATTGGTTTCATCTGCGTTGATCTCTTCTCTCCCAGATAGTAACATGGTCATTTGATATAGTGTTGTCAGTTCTCTGTGGAAATGCTTGTGCTTGAACACTGTACCTCCAATCACCACATCGTTGAATGCACAGAATTCTGCAAACAATTCTCCATTCTCATTCACCATTTCACCGAGTGTCTCTCGACCCATGATTGGTTGTCTTCCTATGTTGTCTGCTCCTAGATTGGCATTCATATCACCCCACCCATTAGAATTTTGATGTCACCAACTGGAGCCAGGTCCAGTACTGATTGCAGTTGTCTGTCGAATTCCTCATTTTTCTCTTGCTCTGCATTATTTGTAGGTGCATGGGGTAGCATTGTATGATTGTGACTTTCCTTCCTTTCGAGTTGAATCCATCTGGCTGTCATGATCCTGATCGTGGAGGAGGAGATTGGTTCCCAGTGTATGAGAGAGGGACTTCGATGCTGTGGGGAACATCATGACAGCCACTCGAGAACTCAGTGTGCTCGTGGTTGTCGTCTGGGTGACAATATTGGAGTAGGTTATTGACTCTCCAGTTGACAGTTTGGAGAGTCCACTCTCATTCCATCTGCTTTCGCAAATTCCAAGCACTTCAATGCTATACCTCCTCATCTCTTCGGCAATCTGGGCAGCCTTGGTAGGTTCATACATGATGCGGACATTCCATGTCCCCACATTTACTTTCGCTTTCATCGAATCTTTCAACAACCGGCATCATTTCGTCTCCCCGATTCCAGCGAGGAATAAGTTGATTTTTATTTTCTTTGTGCTTCGAAATTTCTTTAGCGATTAGATTGGTTTTCCGGGGTAGGGTTGATAGGTTTATGATTAACCTTCCCTCTTTATCCGGGCTTAGAACCGGTTAGTAACTAGTGAACTAGCTAACCAGGCTAGGTTTTTTATGAGATAAAGAAATATAATTGGCTATCTGAGCAGCTGTTGCGGTTGCCTTTAGGGTTACTCTGTGCATCTGCATAAGCTGAGTATGTCTCAAACGTTTTTGGTTAAGTTGATAACTTATCAAATTTCAATAAAGGAGCTGAATAAAAAGGGGTCACTAAGAGACTTCAGTGTCTTTAGCTGAATCCTTCACGAAATCTTGGATGCAGATAGACACATAGAAAGATGAAATAAAGGTAGAACCCCTGACACAAGTGCACCGATTCAACTTGCCATACTTTACAGTAGTGTACAAAGAGCAGGTGGATAGAATAAGAGTGATACCAAAGTAGATAAAGTTGTGTTAAAGGATAAACACTCTTAAGGTAACGGTTAGGGTAAATATTCAAGCTTTACAAGATGTCAGTGGGTCGATACATTTACAGCATTGTGACCGATTTCCAGCTATGTCACCAAGTGTCCTCAACCACTAATTCCTTACGTCTTGTCAACCCCCAACCACGCTGTTTGAATCCCCCCCAAAAGGCTCAGAATAACAGTCAGGGACTTCATCGACCGGTATGGCTACCCTGAAACAGCTACCAATTTCATCCAGCTTCTCCAAGTATTGCAATTTGAGGTAGGCGAAGGTTCAGCATGCGCAGTACATATCCAAGCCATCCCAGTCGACTTACGTTCACAACTTCATCAATCGATCTGCCTACTTTACCTAGTACTCTTCGTCTGACCTCAACATTGTCACACGGTGATTCCACCAAACGCCAGCAACGCTAGGAAGAAACTTGCGTCTGAAGACCTATAACCTCTTCTTGTATTTTACTTTTAACGACATCTCACAGCCGTATAAGAGGCCAGAACATTGCAGTATATTCATTTGATAAGTAGTCGGATATTTTGTCAGCTAGCAGGAGATGACAATAGTTGGCAAATGCCAAGCAGGTATTTTATATCCAAACTGAGATTTCATCAGCAAACAGCCCATTCGGGTTGATTCAACTCCTCAAGTGAAGTGGTCAACGCATTCAACCACATCACTCTGTATCATTAAACTACGAGTAGTTGCACATGGATCCTGGAGCATCATCTTACGTTTGACAGATGTCATATGCGTGCCAAACATGCTCAGATATCCGCCGGACGCGTTTAGAAGGCCCTGCATTCTGTCAGAATATTCACATAGCAGTACAATATAGTCTGCATGCTGAAAGTCCACCAGATGACTTACAGGGAGTAGACCCTGTGAAGTCGGACGTATCTAAGTTTATATCCATTGGTATATCTGTAACGAAGCTTAGTAGAAAGTGACAGTAAACATGCCTGATGAACACAACTGGTTGACGTCAATTCACATAACAACTCCCTATAAGGACTTACATGGCTAAGTTCGAGTAGAGTTTTAATGAACACTATATTCTTTCTCTGCCAAACACTGACACATCTCACCATCGACAGAGCCAAACGCCATCCACAGGTCACCAAATATGTTCACTTTCGGCCACCGGTAGCTATGCCTGGGCGAAAACATCATCGATGCACCCTCTTCCAGGTTCGAAACCTGCCTGGTTTTCACGAGTTTGCTATTCTCGAGCTCCAGTTAGGCGTCGGATGACTGGGGACCTTAGGATCTTGGACACAAAATTAGTCCAACTAAGTCCCCTGATTGTCACAGGAAGACTTTTTTCCTTTCGTATAGACTGAGAAAATCAGAGAAATAGACCAGTCTGACGGTAGTGTCTTCAATGCTCTAAGTAGTACCTTCATCAATCTAATCAAAATTTCTTACCTCCATCCATGAAAACTCTAGGTAGTAAACTGTCGGATTCTACCACGTTCTGTCGTTTTAGGTTCAACACAGTTTTCTCAGCTTCAAGGAAAGTTAGTGTGCCAATATCTACACCTCCTTTAGGTTCAGACTGAGTATTGAGAAGCTGAAGCGTCACTGAAGGCCATCTGAACTGTGATTCAAAGTGTTCTGCTCAACATTCTAGACACCTATCACGGAAAGTTACCAGTGTCACATCGTTTATGACGATAATTCCACTCCTTATCGTTTTCCTGGTCCCGTTATTCTTAATAAGCCTAAATAATTGTCGGACGCTACCCAATGCTGATGCCTTCTCAATCTCTGTCGCCCTTGTCACCCACCACTGTTCCCCTTTATTGGGAACTTATTTGCTTTCACTCTTCATTGTGGTCAGTTAGCTGGAATCAGTCAGCCAGGATGAAGTCGTGGAAGTCCACTGACATTTTCTAACCTTCGAGGGTGGGTTAACCATTATCTTTACCACAGTTTCTACAGCAGATTTATTTTTTCACGCCAGGTTTCCTCAGTTTGAGTACAGTTGTCACGTTCAGATAAATGCCTAACTAACTGCTCTCTAAATGCGTACCTTGCGTCCTCATCTTTTAATTGAGAATATAAAAGCTTTACTGTTGTCTGTTTTTCACGACCAGTTGGATAAAGACATATGCAAGCCCGTACTAACGCGTGACCGGAGTCCAAGCAGGTTTTCCAGAAAGAGCGGCAACCCTCCAGGGATGGGTTATATCAATGTGAGATATCTGTATCCACCGTTGATTTGAAGTTGGCGGACGCCATGTGAAACAGTATCTGTCTTTATGCCTAAAGTTAGTGCTAGCTAGAAATAAGTGATTGTCGGGAAGAAACTAAAACAGGCAATCACTATTGTTGGTTCGTTGGCATGAATGCCCCCAAGATCCCCTTACGATTGCCTCAGCTTCCCTAATTCTGCACTAAAATCCCCTGACATTATGACTATATTCAAACGTTTTGTTTTCTGTAGCAAGGTTGGCAGCTTCTCATAGAATTCAACCTTCGTATCATCCAAACTACAGTTGGTGGGTGAGTGGGCGGAGATCACGAATAGATATCGAATGGTTTTACTATCCTCCTTAGTTCTTACAGACTCATTCAGACGAACAGCACAGTAATCTCTGTTGACTGGTATCCAGTCGAGAAGCTCACTTTCTGTCCTTCATCTCAATGCTATACATACACCATTGGGTGTCCGTATATGTTCATCGTTAATTTTGAAAACTGACTACGAGAGTCAGGTGAGATCACTTTAATAATCACACTCCAATCCTTCATAAGTGTCTCAGAGAAACAGCATAAACCCCTGGCTAAAACTCTACAGTTATGGCGAGTGATACTCCCTATCCGGTTTGGGAGAGTGAGTGGTTGGGGAAGGTGTAACCGGGCAAGCTTTTCCAAACCACCCCATTTACCGAAGGGAGACATCTTACTGCTGTCTCACCCTCATACAGTCAGCAGTACGACTTAGCTCGCAGGCCCCTGTCATAGCGTAGCAATTTACACTATGATAGTAACTGTTTTTGTCTAACCACTACCCGGAAGACCTTTCTGGTATGGTAGGACGTTAAGGGAACAAGCGTTCCACCTGCATAGCTCGTTGGATTATTGTGATACATAGACCAAGGTAGCGGTTATCGGTCGGGGTGCGCACAGCTGAAGAACTCTCCAGCTGTGCTAGTACAAAACAGCTATCCAGTACTCTAAGGTTTTCAGTGGTTTGCCAACTGAAGTCAGTCAGTGGTGAATACTACCTTGGAAGCAACTAAACCCCGCAAATCACCAAGTGTATTCGGTTCTGTGTTTCCCACTGCTGGCTGGGGTAAGAAATAGCTGAATGAAAAGTTATTTGTTGTTAATTGTTTCAACGGTTGTTTCCTCTAAAAAACTGTTACCTAGCGGTCTTATTCAACATACACGAGATTGTATGTGGTTATCAAGTTGCCTATTACCGTTATCAGCAATAATACTATTTTATTTGTATTTATTTAATACTGTTTCATTTTAACCATATACACACATCACAAATAGGTGTGGATGCGACAAAGACATGGTATCAAGAAATAGAAGACTATGATTTCAAAAAGGAAAATCAATTTTCGTGTGGTGAGTCTACTGATGATTAAATTTTGGGATGACACAATGTCCAGCTACTCTGTAGTAATTAAACTTGTAACGTCCCGTTGCTACACAGGGCTAAATTGCTAGACCTCTGATGCAACTAACACGCGTTGCACAAGAGGTGACCATCGTACCCCAGTGGCTTGATGGATAACGCCCTGGCGTCTGAAGTGGTGCGTACTGGGTTCGAGCCTCAGTGGAAACAACATTACTCACTATAATGCGGGTACACCCGGCTGATGAGTCTTAAATGAACCGAAACGAGGGTCCTGCATTCCCCTGCTTGTCACCAAGACCAGTAAAGCCCGGCTACTTTGTTAATAGCATGCTGCGCCTGTATTTACGAATAGACCGATACTGATGTCCAATAATTGACAACTATGTTCAACTAATCAGATAGGTGTTTACTCACAATACTGCACTCATTGATTCACTATTTTCAAAAGGTAACTAACCACCTCTTATACCCGAAATTAATGAGCATCGGAACAAAGAACTACTAACCAACTGACTGGGTAATATATATAATCAGTTGTAAATTAAGGTCACTCGACAACTACTGAGTGATTTTCATTTTATTCATTTGGATTCTGTTAGCAGTCGGATCGTGGACCCATATTTGGCAACCTTTAAATGATTGCTGACGATTTCATTAGACCATAGCTTCTCTTCAAGAAGCTCATTTGCTAACACAGATTGATCGATTCGGGGCCGTGAAATGAAAAGGAACTAAGAAGGGTAAATAAATACATCGCTAATGAGTGCAACTCCAAATTATTATCAACTATAACAGTTAATACTTGAATTTTTGAGGGGGTTGTGGAGATTTGGAAATATTTCATACTAGGACGAAGCAGCTGTCCAGTGCTCCCAGGTTTCCTTTGTTCCTCCAACTGATGTCAGTCTTCGATGAATAACAACTTGAAATAGTTAATACTTGAGTCAATAATTTAACACGAATACTGATTCGTCGCTAATTAAGTTAGTGGTATTAAACACGTCACCCTTTTCAGTTTTTCACATACTGATATGATCTGTGGCATAAAAGAATTTGTAATGGAGGTTAAGCATTCACCAACGACATCAGACAGTAGTAGTACCAAATTAAGAAATGAATTAAGAAATATGAACAGCTGCTTAGCGAACTAAGGGTTGGATGGTAAACTTATCAGTAACAAACTGAGAGGTTCTCAGTCTGATTAGAATGTCAAATACATCGAGAAATGAATAACAGATGCACTCTACAATCTTGATCATCTTGAATGAAGGATAGTGTTGAAAATTCCACAGACAATACATAAGTACTAAAAGAATACTGTAGTGTTTCGAGAGGACGTACTACGCGCGCTTGACTGATAGCTGATTTCGTGCGCAAGATCTACCGACTCTAACCTGGATGAAATAAAGAAGACTGAAAGTTTGTTCCTCCGAGAAGAGTTGTCAATTAACCCAAAAGCATATATATATATATATATATATATATATATATATATATATATATATATATATATATATATATTTGTAGAACGCAAACAATAATATAGTTAAATCAAGCAGCAACCAATCAGAATATAACCTGGAAAGTGCGGGGAAGGAATGAACTACCGCCCATACCAAAAACTTGGCGCCAAAACGACAACTTAAAAATGTTTAGATTAATGACGTTTTTTTGCAAATCTGAGGCCTTCCAACGAATACAAACAGCCCAGTAGCATTTAATTCAAATGATAACCTCAAATCCTTCGAGAAAAATCGCTACTGCTAAAAAAATAAATTTAAAGTGGAAAATAAACAATTGTAGTAGCCTTATTTCCATAAAAGGAGAAATTAATCTGTGCTGTTGGAACGTCATGATACTTTTGTTTGCAATGTCACCAAGTGATGATTAAAAAAATGCCAGAAGTGACAATTAATTTTCACATCCTTGTTCTCCTATTGAATTTGAATAATCCCATGAGAACATCACTTACAGAACAAGATGACTTATTTTTATTTCACAGGATTTTCATCAGCTGCATACAGCCTGAAATTACACTAAATCTTCCTTTCCTAAATTCTTGAGACTCCTACCAACAGTTCGTTAATATTTCTAGAAAATAATTTAAGAGTGGGGGTAATCAGTTGAAGAATGATGCCAGAAGATGGTGACGCTGAATCAAGAATTAACTGAAATGAAAAAAGTCAATTATCGACTTAACGGTAAGGCAATTGTCAAATTAAATGACTGTGAGTGCTTTGTGCACATAATTGATCCAAAAACATAACCTAGAATAGAAAAATATCCGTTACCTATTGGTTTCCAAAGCGTTGTTGAGATTATGCTTAAATAACAGAAGTTTAAAAAACTTCCAAACTAACTCGTGAATCCTGTTTTTCCTATATATCGAACAAATTATTATCTGCAAAAGCATTTTTCGAAGTCCAGGTCAGATGTTTTGATCTGTGAGGTTCCTGAAGTCAGATGTGACGACAAATACTTACCAATGACATCGGATGTGCATCACAATATGTCATAGATGGAGATCCAACCTCTGGAGAGATATAAGTTGATTCATGTTTCCCTTCTCAACTCCAATGAGCAATCCCAAATCAGGGCGAAATAACGATTATGTGCCTGATATCTATGCGTTTTGAAAACTACTTTGCAATGAACAAATTAGCTACACGTCTGAGTATTTATGTGTTCATCGCCTTCTTTTTGTTTCTATTATCAAATAGGACATTTTACACAAGTTCTATGGAGATCGACTTTGAGAGCTGGTTTTGGCAGAGCATTTTCCAAGGATCACCGGAGTATTTATGTTGTTGGTCGGTATGATCCACCAGGAAACTATTCTCGAGAATTCAGAAATAATGTGCCTCCATTAATTCGGAGCTAATAGTTAAGGTTTATTTTGAGTAACTATAATAATGGTGGGATATTGTGTATGGCTTAAAATATACACACTGGTTATTCGAATCAATAAAACGACACCGATTAATCTTTTTTCGAAGTATGTATGGCAAAAAAAGTGATCTTCTTCATTTCACATGTACTTAACTTATTTTAATTGTTATTACGACAGTGGACTGGATTCTATGAGAAGAAATAAACAGAGACAAGCATTATTAACTTTGTTTCTTAATTCAGTTGGAATTGAACACTCTGAGGTTACAGTAAATTATAATGACTTCTAGGACTATTTTGTTTTGGTAAGAAAGATAGACATGCACTTAACGCTCGATGCTTGTTAGAAGATACCGTAAATCTACTTTAGTGTGAACTAATAAATTGAACGCTTTGCACAAGGCATGGTGGTGATAATTTTGATCCAGTGTTAAGTTCATGACAAGAATTACCTCCATGCTTTCATCTAACAGGAATTACTCCATTTCTATAGCTACTGCGAGCGTCGAAGAGTACAAAAGACATAACAAATATATTCGGAATCAGATGCTTCTGAAGTCGATTATGTACGTAGATTTTATTAGTAAACATGAATGAAAGAGTTGTATATCAGGGAAGATGAGACGCCTAAAGTTATACAGTTAGTAGTGAGCTGCTCATTGAATTAAAACCTATTAGTACTTATTTCTAGGTTTCATACAATAAAATAGTAAGCGGGAGCTATTTTATTAATTAGGTATCAATTCATCAATACATCTATTATTCTGTTTGTCAATATTCGCCATCTGTTTACAAAACACACTAATTTGTGTTTGAAGTAGGCATAGGGGAATCAAATTATGAACAGATTCCAAATCGGAATTAGTATAGTATACAAAAGACACTCTGGTGATAAGTTCGAACAACCAGAATGCCATTCCAATTAGTTCGATTGCCACTATCACACTTTTTCTCTTGATGCATACAGAGCTATGTCATAATTTTCAGCGTGTATGATACCCCTGTGGATAAAATAAAGTGAGTTAATTGCAGTAAATATAATGCTTAAATATATTTATGTACTTGTCTTCCGTATATTCAATATTCGATGTCTCAGAAATTAAATCATTCCGAAATATCTACGTCTACGTGCACCGATCCCAACAGACAAGGTCAAAGCAGCTATAGAACGTGTCAGTAAACTCTGTCTTAAAGAAGAAATTCATAGAATAGTCAAAAAGTTGCACAACGTCGGGAATTATATTGAAGATCTTAAGTGTAAGCTGATACAAATAGTTAGCGAAAAAGATTATGAGCTTCTGATGGACAATTTCAATAAAGCAAAATCAGCCGCATTCAAGAAATCCAAAAATACTCAGATTAAGAAGTTCAACAAACTTATGGAAGAAAAGCATGCAGTCAACAGTAATGAAATTAACAATAGCATATCACCGATGATCGATAAGTCAAAGTGGGTTGTCAATCTCTCAAGTAAAGTCCTAAGCTCAACAGAAGTGAAAGTGCTAAAGAGGTGCTAGAGGTCTTAACTTCAATGTAGCGGTTAAGGAGTTGAAACCAGAAGATGTCATTCCCAAAATAGAAATAGCGTTGAGTCCAATAGATAAGACAACTGAAGATGAGGTAAGAGTACAGTGTGCTCTAACACTGAAACGATAGAAGAAAGTGAAATCTAATCTACCCAAGTCAGAGAGGGAAGCTCTCAGGAACCTTTAAAATGATAACAATATAGTAATTGCCAAATCGGATAAAGGCAACTCAGTAGTTGTGATGAACAAATCTGACTATATCTGCAAGGTGAACGAGCATATAGAAACAGGACTATATGAGAAAATTAAGAAGTCAGTGGATACTATTATGAATAAGGTCAAGAAATCGACAGGGGATCTGATACGCCGGATGAAGCCATTTCTAGGTGAGTCAAAGTGGTTTAATTTAATGTCGAAAACTAATAATCCCAGTACAATGTATGGTACTATTAATATTTGTGTACTACCTAACTCTGACATAGGATAAATATGTTCGTTAGGATTTGATCGATCGACGATCAAACTGCCCATGTGATACTGGCGGCCTGCTTAAACCCTGGGCTAGTAAATCTTTCCATCCTATGTATTGCAGCAAGTTTACTTTGTTTTAATCTAAATGTGACCTTTAGTCGCATAAACTTTTAAGAAGTTATGAACCTATCACTATGAGTTTGACAAGTGTAATTAATACTGGCTGATGATTAAAGGTGAAATTAAAACATGGACCGTGGCGGTCTAGGTTTTCATTTCACATTTAGTCACCACCCAGTACCAATACAAGTCTACCAAAGCACAGCTATCTCAGTCAAAATGATAATCAAAATGTAATTCAGAAAAATCATGGTGGATGGCAATGCGCTTTACAGTGAATACAACTACACCAAATGACTAACCAAAATACTTAGCTCGAAATGCAGATCTTTACTCGGTAAGGTAGACTATTTACAATGTCTATTTTGTTCTAATATTTATCGTAATGCTTGGTTGCACAAGGTATATGGTGAAAATTCCGTTTAAGTGATTTCGATTCCTTTCGCCAGGATCGGTGTAGTTCTACAAAAAAAATGTGGTGGAGGTGTAGCTTTCTTTATCAACATTCGGTGCTCCTCATCAAACGACACATATTTCGCCTATACACTATAGACTACCACTGCTAAGTGCCATTACAAACATTGAGATAAATTTGAAGTCATTTACATCACCAATGTTTACTTGACTCCTGGTTGCAGCTATTATGAATTATCTAGATTCGCTGATAAAATCACGGAATTTTCTGCTCCGATGTGTGATTCATTGTTTGCGGTGATTTTAACTCTTGTGACTGCAGCTTCCTGAATTCTCTTGTTCACGATAACCTAGTCAATTTTTCAACTCGTCCTGATGCCACATTCGACAGTCTTCGCTAGTGAACCTGGTACACACGAAACTCAGAAACATGCACTACTTTTAAGCTCAGATCATTGTACTATGCGAGTTCTGCTAAGAATATAGGGCGAACTGCAGAAATACTTTTACATACCAATCTAAGAAGACTGCACACAGGAGCTTTGCATATGACAATATACATAAACTCAGATGCATGTTACAGAACAGAGGTTGGGAAGAATTTGAAATGGAAGCTCTGTATGACATAATCGATGCTGTTGCATGCTATCTTAAATTTCGCTTTAATATTTGGTGCTCAGCTAAAATAATCTTTCTAAGGTTTAATAGACTTTCTTCTCCGTATTTAGAAAGACTGCAAAGAGAAACTGTACAAATCAAAGGGAAAGGCTGGTTAGACGACTTAACTAGGTTATTAAGTCTGAAATAAAACGCTTAAACTTAACATTTAACCAGAAGATTACGTCAAGTAAAAGCGCTTCTAGTATATGGAGACTTTTTAATGATCTTACTAGAAAGAGAAAACTCAGAAATAAAACCTGTGAATGTTATCTAGTTCTACACACATAAGAGAAGTGTTCAAATGCCTTGGACCAAATGGGATGTCAGGTGTTCTTTTGCGAGCTGTGCTGATATTCCATGCATCCACTCACAAACATTTTAATGAGTTCATTGCCAGGAATGATGTACCAACCGCCTGGGAGGAAATTAAAATAGTTCCGGTACCTAAGTCCATACCTTTTGGAGCAAAAGTGAAGTTCCTACCGATCACAACGTTACCATCCCTAAAACCAATGGAAAAACTGTTGCTTTGTGTGCTTGAAACTCCTTTTCAGGCTTTCAGAGATCCAAACTAATTAGCCTGCAAACTCATAAGAAGTACCTTGTATCCTGCAGTTGTTTTACATCTTAATAATATTGCCAGTCTAGACCAAGGGGCTAAGTATTCTAGATCTGCCTTAGATTATAATTCCGCCTTTGACTCTGTCTCTAGACCCCTTTTATTAAACAAGCTTGCCAGATCTCACATTGAGTCCTGGATTGGAAACTAAATCCATCGGTTTTGGAGTGGTAATTACTATTCGTTAATTTTGCATAGATAATAACAGTTTGAATCATGAGAAAAATGAAACCTGAATTGGAGGACAACTTCTATAACAACCATCATTGTCTAACAGACTTTGCTTAATGACAACAACGTGATCCATATTAGTTGATCGATTATACAACGTATATTGAGTAATTATCACCATTTGACTGAAATTAAAATTAAACTTGCACTCGAAAAGTAAAACTATCACTTCATCAAACTGCAATTATTGGCGCTAATAGAATGTTCAGCTTATCTGTCAGTCCACTAGACACCGTGACCTTTGAGCTACAATTCACAGCCAAAATCTGATATGATAACTCAAACCACCGGGACAAGTGCGTAACTGTTTATCAGAAAAACAGATGATTCATTGAGGTGAAGAACAATTTCATGATTTCTGACTGAAGGATGATACCATCAGAACTCAGTTATTGTTCTATTAAAGTCAACCTTTTTAAATTCTGTGGGAAAGGTACAAAAAAAAACACCAAAATACGAGGTTTTCGATATCTTTGGAAAGATAAATGTACGAGTACAACTGCTTCACGTTCATTTTTACGGTAAGCAAACTCTTTAAGGTTAAACAGATAGATACCAAGAAATACCACGAAACGATTTACTATACCAATACTAACAAGACATAAACGCGATGCAAAGAGGAGAGAAAAAATAAAAACTGGACGGGAGCGAATCAAAGTGAATATAGGAATGAGTCATTGAAGAACTGGCCTCAAGGATATATTCAATGAAGCATACATTATTTTTATTCCATACTCCAGTACCGAACTAAACCGCAAGGTGGCAGTATGATCATCATTGGTTTTGGTTCTTAGCCACATGTAATAACGTGTCAAGTCATTGAGTGGCATGATCCCTCGGACAATATCCAACAGGTTATGAAGCACCTTCTTTCATAATTTGCCATCACGTCGTACAATAACTACCATTCCATTTCTTATAACACCGTGAAAGTCGCTCAGACGGCTAAAAACTAGCTACGTAGACAATCCTATACGAACTTGTTCAATAAGAACCTCATGGTTACATATTAGATTCCAAGGTAAAGGATGAAGTCAGCAGATATACAATCATATTGATAGAAAAAGTATCTCTGACCATTGGATAACATAACTTCATCCATGAACATTCCGAGTTATTTTATATTTACTAACCCTTCACGGCCAGTAAAATTTCGGCATCTCTTCATGTACTTGATAACAAAGAATATATCGACAATACTAATCAAACTTGGTCAACTACAAAGAGATTAACATGTAGCTTAGCATCATATTATGTGCTACACTCGAAAACATTACAGAAAAAGTGTGTGAGATAATAATCACGAAAGGTTAATAAGGTTCAGAATCCTAAGATTCATAAAGAGCGAAAGCATTTGCATTATTGAGTGGAATTCGACCAATGTCAGAGAATCTCCAGCCACTGATATAAAACATCTCAAGAACCACAACTGACTTACCTATACGATCCACATAAAACGTCAGATACTTCATGGGTTAGTGCCATTTTGGCATGACAATCTTTTGAATCAATGTACGCAGATGCGTCAGTCAATAAAGATCACAATTTCAATGGCGAACTTATCTTCCTCGCTTGACAATGCACACTTGGAACTTAACATTACATACTTATCGGCTCAAGAATATTACCAGCACTACGCAGAAAGCAATAATCAAAGAATATAACTTTATCATATCTTCCAACTTGAACGGCAACGTCTAAAAGCGATTGAGTACGACAGGGAAAATTGCTGAACAGCACACAGTATTTAGTAAGTAGTCAGACATCTTCTAGATATCACTGATGTAATAAGTTGGATAATGTTCAAATAGCTTTTTGTATGAATTTGTACAGAACAAACTCATCAGGAATAGTACAACTTCTTGAGAAAGTATTCGATTACTTCAGTCTTAAACCAGGAGTTAGTTTAGATCAATCTGTGCCAGTTAAAGGAACTAACTTGTTGCAAACGTCAGGCCATCATTTGTTGTATTAGAGATGACAATTTACTATTTCTACTATCAAAGCACTGCGTAAAACAAAAAGTATATGGTATACTCCATTTGATATACAACTCAGTAACCCTGTTAAAATGGTTTGTGTTGAGAACAACTAGCCGCGCCTGTTATATGCAGCTCCACATCATGAGATTATTCAAATTGTTTTCATGAGTGGCTGATAGCCAAATGCCTAAATCATTAAGATACTACAGGCACACAAATACTAACGGTCCTAAACAGTAACAAAAGCAAACAAGTGGAAAGAGCGCTAACTATCCAAAAGAAACAATCAATCTATTTATTACCTTCACATGATAGTATACACAAAAAGTGAAAAATGATAAGCATGAAATGTAAGAAATTATCCGAAAACAATATTGAAGAAAAGTGAGGCAAAAAGAAGTGAGATAACAACATAGGTAGACTTAAAATCGTTTACTTCCATCGGTGGAATTTTTTAACACTGTTAGTTCTGTAATGGATCCTCACTAGCATCTGTAGTTAAGAAAAGAGCGGAAATGAAAATAAGCAGACAATAATTACAAAATACTACGAAAAATTATCTAGAAGTTATTGGTACCTATCTTTTTTGAAAATATTGTGCATACGATGGTCACTTCTCGTGCAGCTGTCGTGGCTCGGTGGTCTAGTGGGTAACGCTCTGGCATTTGAAGCAACCAGTCCCGAGTTCGAGTCCTGGTAGGAGCAACACACTAGGAGGCAGGTACATCTAGCTCATGAGTTCCAAACATGACGAAATGAGCATGCTGGGTTCCACTGCTAGCCACTATCCATCATCAACATAAAGGGAAATGTAAGTACCCTATTTCTGATGAACATGTTAACCGGAAGAGATAGTTGAATACCTTGAGTGGGAGGAAAAACCATCGGTTTGGGCAGTGCAGATACATTTATGCCTTTTCTACATCTCAATCTTCAAGGTTATTATTTTTTTATGACCACTTTCCTCTCCTTTTGTGATTTCCAATGAAAATGCTAAAGACGCACTAGTTTTTTCTTTGTCTTCCGTTGTATCGAGTTCACATTACCAAAGGTGCTGATGTTTTCCAGTGCATATAATAGAAAAAGGATGGGGTTGATAACTTTCAGAGACTTAAGTGTTTTTGGCATGACAAGCCACCGCCTACCTCGACCCGCGATGCTAAGAAAAAATGGATACGGTTGAAAGAGGGTTCAGAATGTCCAGAATAAGATGTGACATCAGCGTATGAAGTCTTCGACCGTCGGTCTGAGTCGTAAAGGGAAGTGTGGACTATGTAATAAAGTCGCTGAGACGATAGAATTCAGTGTTTGAAGGCTCTTCGTAAAATGATTGAAAATCAGTCACAATGACGCAGAAGTATTCACTCTTTGATATATTCTAAAGCTTGAATGTTGTGACTACCCTTAACTTTTAAATTCCTCTCCTCCTACACAGCTTTGTCTACTTTAATATCAATCTTTCCCATCCACTTTTTCTTTGTATATTACTCAGAAATGTGGCAACTTTGACCAATCCAAATGTGTGCAGTTTTACGTTGATTTTGGTTGTCTGTCTATGGTGGAAAAAAGAAATAACTTTTCGTTTTCAAGCACACGATGTTCAATAAGAATTCATATAAAGAATACATTCTTACATCAGAATTTTTTAAAGTATTCTCAATCTTAACGTAATAGTAGTTATGGCGAAGGCATCGCGTAAAGTAAGAGAAATATTGTAGTTCTAACCGTATTGTTGATATATTTTACTGGGTCTAACAAGTGTATACATGAAGCAGTGTTTAGTGGCTTCATCATATTACTTGACTATGAAGGTTTTCATAGAGCTGTTATCTTCAGTAATACAGAAACTACTAATTAAAGATACTTCATGATATGAATTTATAAAATGTACTTAAATATTACTTTCGAATAGGAAACCTTTCGATGATGTGAGGAAGCGAATCGATCGCTCAGTGTACCACATTAAGAAGTACATCGAAGGATTGTGCTATTGTTTAGTTGCTTAAGTCAAGAGTGGGTTATAAATCTTGCATTGATTGACTGTAGAAAAGATACCATGATCAATGAATGACAACATATCTTACTACTTCAAGAGTCAACACTTAATGCTTGTAAAATTATCAAAATATGTCATGTCAATGCTAAAATGAGGTCGTCATTCTTCTGAGTAACTTGGAGTCTAGAGTCGCAAAGAATAGAAACTATTCAATGTAAAAAATACTGCTGAAAAGAATACTCATGATCCTCAAGAACCAGAGACTAACTCTACATGAAAGACTTCTTATTCATCTATTTCGAACACAAACCAAATGCAGGATGGGCTCGTTTAGTGGGGGGAAAGTTCTATTACTTACACAATCTCACACATCATAATATCAGATAAAAGTATTATTCCAGAGATAACAGTACTCCTGTAATTTCCTGACGCACAATTAAACTGTCAGACATTGAGCATAAGGGTTATTAAGTCATACTTGTCCGAACTATTATTATTATTATTATTATTATTATTATTATTATTATTATTATTATTATTATTATTATTATTGTAACCATTATGCTAACAATGTAAAATGCTTTGAAGATAAACAAGAATTTTTGAAGATATGTGAAATCGATTATACAAGCAAGTGTGCAAACAAACACATCTTGAAGTAGGCACCATAAGTTTATATATGAAAAAAAGACAGTCAAATACGAAGCGCTTACCTTCCCAGTTAACATCCATGTCTAAATGCTCAAATTTCTCATCACCATTCTCTTCTTCGTCGTCAAATGAGGCATAATCATCATCATCTCCTGATGAATAATCTGTATGCCCTACCTGTGAAGACGTATCCACTTCAGAATCTACTAAACCAAATGAATGCTTTCGGATACGTTTCTGTTTACTCGGGCCATCATTTTCACCACCGCCACCACCATCAACTGAAGATTTTTGCTGACTAGGACGTAAGACTAAGATTATATCAGGAATTTTATCCTCTGGAAGTTTTTCAAATTCCGGATGGTTAATATTGCAGTTTCTTAAGTCTAACCTGTATATATCAAATGGTGAAAAAGGGATTCAGTATATGCAGGTGGAGACATACAACAAACAAAGGTTATCTTAAGATGTCGAGTCTAAACTGTTTTACAAAAACACCGGATACTAATGCACGTAAATAATTCGCAGGAAAAATGTTCGACATACAATAAGATGGTCAGTGAAACTTACCAATCTAATGGTAGTAGGTGTTTTCGTGCTTCGGAAGTAAGAATATTACATTTGAATATCAGTAATAGCAGGATCATGTGGAATGCATGACTGTCAGGCAGTGGTATATTTTTATTGTTATTTCTAGCATTGCCACAGTTGTGTACCTCAGTGTTTGGTTATCGCTACTAGTCTGTTCAATACTAAAAGTGAAGTTGCAAAACTGGCCTGCATTGACCCCTGTTTGAAGGATAGAAAGTGAAGTGATTGGGCGAGATTACCAGTTGGACTATTCAGGAAACCACATCAGCCTTGATAGATCGGTGCCTCATGAAACCTGCTTTGGATATTTCCCAATTTACATATCTATTGATGTTGAGGAGATCCCTGACTGCCTATACAACTTGTGTACTACCCTGAAGTGAACTCCATCTACCTCTACGACTATCAGATATGTTCACTGACGATGGGAGATATGAAGTGACAGGTTTTTTCATCATAATTGGCTTCATAAAACTGATTGCCTGAAGTGAAAACATTCAATTGATATAAGGACAAAAAGTAACACTGCTTCCAATAGAACCTGCTACACTTTCTTAATAGAAATTACTCACTTTCAAAATATTCAAATATTGTATACGTCGTTGTAGCATTCAAAGGCAAAATATGGCAAATATATCGTATACATATTAGTACTATATCACTTCTGTACGACATCACAAGAAAATCAAATAGTAGACCTACCCAAGCACTTTATCACCAGGATGCAAAATACGACCAAGATGTGATCTGGTATGAATCATACCATCACCCGATTCACTGTCCAATTGAGCTAAATCAGCTCCGTCACTTGGATCTCGCATCACCCAAACAGAAATTGGTGAATGTTTTTTGGACAACTTAGCGCCCACCGGATATGAAGTGGTTGAAGTAGTATGGGATTTCCTTGAAGAATTTATTTGGCTAGAATCACGTCTTTCTTCTTCTTCCGCTTCGATTTCAAGCACAACGAATGGAGACAGACGTTTTTGTGTTGTTATGGATGTGAATGGAGATGAGAAATAAGCCTTACTATCTACATGACAAACTGAAGTGGAATAATACAGCAAGAAGAGACTGTTAAATGTGGATAACGAAATAACATAAAAAATGGTTTGAATTGGCTAAAGAGGTGGAATTTAAGCGAATTCAGTTGCTTATGAGAATAGTTGAAGAATTTATTTATTAACAAATACTTTAAGTACTACCGGATGAAAGTTTCGGGGTCTATCACTGCTGTATGACATGCTACACCATTGACGTACTTGAGAGATGAAGCTAAATTAAATAAGATAAATGAGGGTGTTTAGTTAAAAACGCCTTTGAAACCAACCGTTCTCGTGAAAAATAAATATAACTGCAATTTGACTCTATAATGAACTATGAGCCTCAATTGTTGTGTCAGGGCTTATTATAGTAACTGACTTTTTGACGAGAGTAAGTGGAGCGGAGTGTGAACTAACTAATTAACTTTTTATTTTTTTAAAGCAAACTAATAAAAGACTACACAGTTTGCTATTATTTATGTATCGTATTATCACCCAGCATCAATTCCAGTTTGCCAAACCACGGGTATCTCAGATAGCCAAAATGATAATCTAATTGGTAATGTGACTGTTTACCTAAGCTAACTCTGCATTTTCAAGAAAATTTTACATGGAGAAAATATTCTTTTTTATATGTAATTTCTACTTATTTCAGAATAGTCATTATTATTATGCTTTAAATATACGCACCCATGACCCAGCAACGGATCGAACTCAGAACCTTCAAGTTTCACGGCAAACGTACTAACCATTCAGCCACTGGGTCGGTTCTCAGTGGTTCACAGTTTCCAACTTCTGCAATCCACGATATAGCGCGACCCTAGCCGGGTCGTGGGTGCGTACTGCCGAGGAGTCCCATACTAGGATGAAACAGCTGTCCAGTGCTTCCAAATTTCCAATGGTTCCTAAACTGATGTTAGTCCGTGATGAATACTACCTCTAAATTAAAAAGTTCCCATTCATCTCAAAAATATAATAATAGTAATAATCGCATTATTCCAGACAATAACTTATAGTACAGTTTGGAATTCTCAACAAATTTATTTATTTACCAATATTTCCAAATCAAAAAGCCATGACAGTCCAATAATGTTAATAATAACAACGAAATCCTATTCACCATCTTCACTTAGTGCAGGTGCTACTACAAAAATGAGAGGATGGGCGTGAATGTTTGGTGCATATCGCCGCATTGACGGGTAAGGAAGTTCATTTAGGAAAGTTGGAAAATCTTGATTTGAAACCAATGGTCGTCAGGATTTCGAGCGAATGAGTGATGCACAAATCTACGTTTGCCAACTTCAACTGAAGGGTCACGACACATAACGTTTCTCTGCTATCTTGTGTAATAAGCCTCCTTATGAAAAGCTTGGAAGTGGTTGCTTAGGCCAATAATCTTCATCTATGTGGCCAGTACCACAGCCATCATACAAATCATGGAACAGCAATAACAATGAGAACGAAGTGCTCATCTACGAATGATTACTTGATTAGTTTTCTTCAGATATTTAGGTGCAGTTAGGCTGTTTCTGGTGATAAAGTAGTTAAATTTCATGATTTACTATTCCTTTCATATTTCCGTACAAAATTGATATACAAGGTATAGAAATACAGCTATGGTATATGTACTAGCTCATAGAGTATTATTTATTGCGGGAGCATATAATATAATCTGAATGGCTAAATTTAACAAGATAGAACAGGCAACTAACCCATCAGTAACTGAATGAAAGTCAAATGATTAGACTACAAAGTCACATGGTTTTTAAAATGTTACACAGGAGAGTTGTGACATCACTCATCTCGACTGATTATCTTTTCCTCTTTTCAATCCAGCATTAACTTCACTGACAAATTCTGTAGCCGGACACATCAAGGAGGATGACATATTGATGTATGTAATCGAGGATACTAACGTAGCTGACGCGAATTCACTTTGTGAGGTGAGTATTCTAAAATATGTAGAAACATTGACTGAAGATGGGAAGAAAACAAACATCTTCACCTCGAAAGCGTTACATTTTCTCTACTGTGTAGTTTTAAGCATCAAATGTTGTATACCTGAACTTTCACAGTTGTACATACGTAGCATAAGAGCAATGTGTCTAAGATGAATGCATGACGCTACTGTCGGAGCACCCAAGCAACTGCTCTGATGCACAAACCCTACAGTCATTCCGGAAAAGTCGACGCGATGAATAGAAAGTGTACAGGCTCACACTTTTTAGCCGCTAGATGGAAAGGAAAGTATATCATGCTTACAGATAGCAATGAAGTCCACTTTTGAAAGACTGTATGTCGTTAAATACCATACCAATATGTTGTTAGTAAAAATTTCGAAACGGCGAGCTTATAACGAAATGTATAAGAACGGCTTACTCTGACAAGTTAAGGATCAATTAGGTGGATGGCTTCGGCAACCTTAGTAACAATACACAGTTGACCAATGCCACCAAGTTTATGTGATTGCGCTCTTGACAAACAGACTACATCATTCTACGAAAGTGATAAAAGAAAAAAATAGTTATGCAAAGCTAAGAAAATAAACGATTATGAAAGAAATTTATTTCAAAACCAATTCGCTTGCAATGAAAAAATCTATCATCCGTTTGTGTTCTTTACTAGTTATAATAGAGTTTGATGCCCAAATCAGAAAGTGACTACTTGATGAAAAGAGTAGAAATAATAGAGAATACTTCCATGATATCAAAAATTAAACTGCAGTCACGACAGTGCTCCGTTCATGGTTTTTTTTCGATATCGTTCCAACTGAACCTGATTAGTTGTGAACATCAGCATTTGGTACAAAAAGACAATAGAAGGGAGATATATAAGGCTAGACCAAGACAGAGCATCAATCTTTAAAATCCCTGCTCGCTGGTCTGAGGCGAGTAGAGAGTTCTGAATTCTGATGAATATGTCAAAAGCTGAACCATATCAAGGCTTTAAGTGATTTCGTAGAAATTATCTACTAATAGGTAGTTAGAATAAGAATTCTAGAAACTTGACAAGGATTATGCTTAATTATTATTATATCAACAATCAACAAGTCTATCAATCACTAACACATGGAACGAAAGTTGATAGGACTAACGCACAAATAAAATACCTATTCAGAAATAAATGAGGGGAGGAAGGTAGACTTAGTTAGTCAAAAACAATGAGGAACAAATTTCTTCCAACAGGCCGAAATATTGTTACCAACGCCTATAATACTTTTTACCACATTCTTTAATCCATCCTTTATTCGTTTTCAAACATCATATTGATTCAAAGTTGTCTGATTAACTACAAGCATTTACTGTTAACAACATCCCTATTCCTTAATTATACACCTTTTAATATCCAGCCATAAGTACACTTTTCAAAGAGATTTAACATATTATTTCTATACTTGAGTTTTCTGATGTTTCACAGGACGAAATTCATAAGTCTCCTGAGATGTACGTATATCGGGCTTACGAGTTCTAGATAGAAAGAAAAGAACGTTTCGGATTTCAATGCTGGGCACTACGGAATACATAGCTGATATCCAACTCATTCAACGTTTAGTTCACATTTAACGACGTGGTTTATAGACAGAAAAATGGAATCGCCATGGGATCCCCACTAGGTCTACCACTAGCAGACTGTCAGTTTGGAGAACGGAACCTTGAAGTCAACGATTGAAAGTTTCCAACTGTATAAAAGGTACATGGACGATACTTTTATTATCTGTGAACATTAATACGATTTGAATCACGTTCTACAAATATTCGATAACTACCATTCAGCAATTACGTTTCCCGTTGAGGTCGAAAATCGATCGAAAATTCGGTCTAGATGTAGAGATGACAAGAACAGCTGAGGGAATGTTAATTAGATCAGTTCACAGAAAACCAATGTGGGACCAACGATGAACTTCAATAGCTGGGTCCCTATGAGTCATAAGCGACATCTGATCATATCTCTTGCCACTCACACTAGACGAATTTGCGGTCCCGATATGTTAGAAGAGGAAATTTCTGTTCTAAAGAACATCCTGATTGAAAACGGATTCCCACCACGTTTCATAGCCAAACACATCAGGACTGAACCTCGTAATGAGAACCTTACCATCGTGCCAAAAAAGACTCTATATGAACCTAAACTTCAAAGGTGATTCAGCTGCTGAAATTCTAAAAAGGAGGATATCAAACGCTCTAAGGAGAACATTCTTTGCATCAACGCTGAAACTAGTATTCTCCTGGCTTTTTGATTTTAATGACAGCACATTCATTGACACTATTTGTGTTGCCATGCTTGACAAACTGTTTTCAACTATCAAATCCTTACACTAGAAATTGTATAAATTTGTGATTGTACAGTTTTGAAAATGAAATCACCGAAGAGACTCTTCGCTAAAATACTTGTTCTTCTTTCATTTTTGTTTTGTCAAAGTTATTTAAACAACTCTAGTTTTTTAAATCATTGCGCAAAGAATAGTGAGTTACGATGTTCTTACAACGGATACTCCATTTCTGTCGATTGTTATAATCTCTAGTTATAATGAAGAGAATTAAAAAAGGAAAAGACTTTCATGTTCATTATCGAATTTACATTCAAAAGTTCATTGCTAAAAATCGGAAATGAGAACGGTGTGGCCGATTTCTTCAGAGATTACCAATATGGCTTCCCAAACAACACACATACGGTTAGGTTATTATCAATTGTTGGTCTTTACTCAGGAAGAAGAAAGTAAACGATGACAAACAGCCGAGCGTAATTGTGTACAGATTTGGACTACCATTGCGCAGTAGGTAGAAATAAACGACAGATGAAGACAATGAAATGAGAATAACAAGAGCAATTGTGTACAACTGAAAGACTGAACAAAGTAATTAGTTAGGCTGTCAATGACCGGTTTTGAGCCATATCGCCTAGAGTTTGCAGACATTTGTACTAGTTGTATCACAAATCCCACTCTTGAAGTTTTCAGTTTTTCACACGAATTAGCTACTTCATGAATTAAATTAAGGCGATGTTTTGATCCAGTCATTCCGAAGCTATTTTGTCTGAATCTTAAACCTGCTAACACAGCAACAAGATAAGTGATGGTTAGACACGCGTTGCACATATCCTAACTGCCTCAGTCAGTGCAGGTTTACAGTTTCAATACCTTACTTATATTCCTATTCTTAGTGGTCTATGTCTAACCGTAGCATTGATTATACGGCGACTGTACTATTTGCCAGACGCTAGGAAGACGGCTGAAGTCTACGGGTATCCTCAGACTTAAATGTCTGTTTTATAGTCACATAATATGGTAATGGCATACTGTTACACAGCGCCGACGACCCCTAATAAACATTCGGATACCTTACCTACACTACATATAGTGGAAGTGGGTAAAAGTTATCCGATCTTCTACAACTGTAGCTGGATTTTTTGAACAACTTTACCATCAAGACTCAGGTGACTTTTTACGTAAATGAAGTGGCCATTTCTTATCCTACTGTTGAAAGGGATGCCGATACATAACGGTTGTGAATCAGTAGCATGACATCCAATGTGAAATGCTCATGTAGTGCAGAAGATTGGATTTTTGTAGTACCTTAGGTCATCATAGCTACGAGGTGTGTGTACTTAAAATACATTATGATACCTGCGAAAATGAGATCAGTCCAAATGAAACCAAGAATAAATGTGATCATTCTTGACAAAGATTACTCAAAGTATCAACCTTAAAGAATAAGCTATTTTAAACTCCAGTATAACAGTGAATTATGAAAAGCCATTTATAATGTGATGTACCAGGCATGCACCTCAATTTAATAGCAAAATAATTTTAAGTAAGTTTCTCTTAAAAGGCTGACAGTAATTGGAGAAACATGGAATAACCTGGGAGGACTAGATGATTGTTTCTTTCTAGTTTAAGGTTTTTTAACAATGGATGATGGTTGCGCTCGTCCACTGATTTTAATCGATGACACGAAACTACTTTGGAATAAATTAAACTCAAGAAACTAACAACAACAGAACAATGATGATGATGGAAATTTTACTTCAATACGCTTACCTTACAAACTGGTGCGATTTCTAGAGAAAATGTGTACTTGTAATTGTATGTATTGCTATGTACATCGTGTGATTTTAAATGTTGTGCAGTTTGATAGCTGAAATCGAATATGTAAAAGGAATGATTACTATTGATTACTGATTAGTAAAATTTTCTATGATACAATAAAAAAAATATATCCAACTAATCAAGCATCCACACAAGAATGACTACGTTAGTTTATTGTCGGAAAAGAAATAGACAGAAGTGGAATGGAACTTATGATCAAAGGTTTCACGATCAAATTATTACACCAGAGACAAAGCTTCAAAGATGAACTAATTGCTAACACCATTTTTGGAAATAAACAATTTTTATTCAAGTGACTGGGAACAAAAAAAGAACTAATTATGCGCACACAGAGACAAAAGAGACTACTCTCTTTTCTAGGTAATGACGTTTTCGGTCGAACTCTGAAAGTTTTAGAGTAAATACCATTGAAAGTAAACGTTGAGTAAGTATATATACTGCATACATCAATGAAAAAAATTAATGCATAGATCACAACCATTTTTACATTATGACGGAGCATTCATTTATAAAAACTGGTAAATAAGCACGCTTATCTTCTGTTAGATATACTAAATTTATGAAATTGAAATAGAACAAGATGCACACGAATTGGTCACCAATGTGGGCAACCGATATAGCTGTCTAGTTCTGTGTTTAGCATCCATCGAAATCCATCAAAAAAGTTTTGTAATGTGACTATTGACTGAAGTGACATGACGTTGCGGTGACCTATATTTAGGTGTTCGATGTAAGGGAGTCAACCGGTAGGGAGACCAGGACCTAGGGTTAATGTTTATTGGCAATTCATCGGTAAGGCGAATCTATAATCATGGAGAAAATAATCCTTTCACCATGATTCAAACCTTCATCATTGAGTGCTGAAGTCAGAAACTTAACCGGTAAGCTATTCACAGGGTATGACTGATCTTGAGTGTGCACTACTAAGAAGTCTTAGACTAAGACAAATGGCTTATTGTTTAAAATCATGATACGAATAATTTGATAGGTGGTTTCGAAGTTTCATTACTTTGACGATAATTCGAATAGGAATGTATTTATGTAGCTCATTTTTCACTATAACATGTTTGTGTAATTAGATAAGAGTTACGCATAATCTGTGACGGCTGACGATACTCCTAATAAACCAGGTTCCAGTAGATGGAGTGGGATATGAACTCGGCCAGTTAGGTATCTAGACTAATGTGCCACGTTTCCACACAAATTGAGAATACGTTGCAGAAATGATGAACAGAGTGTATACTCTCAACAATACACACTGCTAAAACAGACTAGAATACAGGTAGCTGTTTAGGAATACTTGCTTCCCAGTAATTGTTTGAATAATATTGGTTAGTCTAAATTATTTCAGAGTTAGACATGATTTCAAACCAATCCATACTGGAGATTCGCTTGTGATAGCATTCTATCACTTGAAGTTCCGATGGAATGACCACAACTTGTGTAGCACTTTAAGTTCTGCTTTTTTAGCTACGATATATCAGACACCATGTTGAAGGTCAACTTTACAATGAACCTAGCAATATGAACATTCATAGTACTTCAATTTATTTCATTTAGAAAACATCTCAAATGATGGTTAATGTTTACTGAACAAGGATAAATTTCTCATTATTTTAGAATCTTCACCATCATCTTAGTATAAGAGCTTTGAAAGCTTCTCTCAAATGATGGGAAGACTACTTGACGTCTTACAGAAGACTTTATACAAGTAAAGTAACGAAGAAAGACTGGGTCTGTTTTAGAAGAAGAAATAAGAGAAATCAACACAAAAGTATTTATCATTTTGACTATCTGAGATAAATATGGTTTGGCAAAACCCTTGGTGATTGAAGTAAAATTAAGAGTTGGTCTGCAGCTGAATCTCGAATCTCAGTTGATAAAGCATCGCGTCGGTTACCCGGAAACCGCTGGTTCAAAACCTGCCACGATCCAGATTTGTATTTTACGCATAAAATTAATTATCAAAGAACCTGAAAACGAAAGCACTCTCGCTTTCGCCTTTCTGTACCATAGAGATTTTTAAAAGTAATCAACTTTAAAATCCCCTAGTGTGTTTGTTACACGTCATATTGACAAGTTGACAGTAAACAAATATTCAGTTCAGTAGGTTAGTTGTCAGGTGCGAAAATGTAGTAATAATAAACTTCAAAAATGTTTTTGAATAAACGAATGACTGGAGTTGCTATTAGTCGAAATAATTTCAAAATATCCTTCTGGACCCCGAGTAAGATATCATTGGAAAAGGACTGTATGCCTAAGTAGTATATGTTAGAAATTGTGAATATATGAAACAAATGGGAATTCGGCAACTGGCGATGTAATTAGGATCGAAAATAATTCATTACAACTAAATATTATTAATTCACCATAGTTGGGAATGAAAAAAAGAGCAAAGAGCGAGAAAGACAAGACTGTGAGAAATATTCTGCATGGAAGGCAAACTATTGTCTCTTCAGGTGCAGGATGGTCCTCCTGATAAGTTGAGTGAAACAAACCTCTGTAACAGAAGTGACTTTCTAACCATTTGCTAATTGATGACATATTCGCAGACGTCAATCAGTGTAATGATCATTTTCCAGGAGACGATGAGTGACAGAACTTCCCGAGATGCTATCGTGGGAATTGAATGAGTATTAAGGACAGCGCGATACGACTTTAGTTGAATGTCACCTTTTAGCTCACTAAATATAGTAGCTTCGACAAACACTTCCTTTGTGGTTGTATTTATAAATAACAAATACAGTGGATATGATGTCCGATTTAGAAAAGCTGTGCAAGCAACACTTAAGCAACTGATACATATCATCTTTCATGAATGATAACGTTAAGTAAACCTGTTTCTTTCAAACTGAATAGACTATTTCTTATTGCATGTTCTCTTTGGAATACTTGAATGTATTCTTCAAAAGGGTGTACTCAATTATACCATCAAACCAAGTTTTCTGCACCTCGCCTTACAATATCCGTGTCAAAATCCCTATGAACCGTATCACGTTGAATCTGTTAAAATGAGAGAACTGTCTGGACCATGTTAGCTGTCTATAGTTTGATTTGTCAACTGAAAAATTCATCGAAAATGTTTTCGCGAGGGAACAGCTTAAAAAGAGGTATTCAAACTAAGTTCCACCTACTTTCAACCAAGTAATAGAATAGTATCTGGAATACCGACGCACAACACCAGCTGTTTCTTTTGACCTGAAGGTGACATGCGACTCCGTCGATTGAGAGGTCTCATGGAAATGTCTCTCACTGAAAAGATTGGTGGCTCTGTATTTGAACATGTGAGCCTATGGTAAGTTGTGTTCGTTAGAATGTCAAATATTTCCATTCTTATTCGACCTTATCACAGACGTTACTTATGGAGGTCTCTCTCTCGTCATTTGACTCCAGGGGAATTCATCTTATCACAAGAGAGTCCTTGGCATATTATGAGTACATAGATGACATGGTCCTGTTAGGTAAAGACTGACAATGCACAAAGTTTTCTGGACACCTTGAGCAGCATTTTGAAAACGCTTTCGGGGTTTCTCGCCACCTAAATGCAAATTGTTGCCCCCAAAACAGGTCGGCACTGATAATAACAATAATAGAATTAGGTGGTTGAGTGCGACAACCCCTTAACTTCAGATAAGCATTGCAGGACTAATGATTGACGAAATCTCTGCACGGATACAAAGGGGTCGGTCGCAGTGTTACTACCACTTACAGTGTCTCCAGGATATCCGGTTGCCTGATTAGAAACGAGCGTAATGCGGTGGTGTACCCTTTCTTCTACTATATGGACGTAACGCATGGTCATTTTAATTGGAAGACATGCGAAGGCTTCACGTGTCCGTCACCTTCATAGTACAGGCCGTGTCGTAGTGTCAATAAATCAGTAACGTGGAAGTCAGGGGTAGAGTTCTACATAGAAGCGGGTCAGCTGTCATGAAGCTGTGAACATTCATCGACTCAAGTGGTTGGGACGTGTGTTACGCATGCCTAGTTGCCATCTTTCTCACTGCTGATAAACGGTTAGAGGCGGTCACATTATAAATTGGTAATTGTCTATGAAGTTTTTGATTACTGGTCTGACGGAGTAACGAAGTGTAACCCATCCGGCTGAGGTTTATGTAATAACAGAAATCATTGGTCGGAGACTGTAGGTGATATGGCTCACAAATGACCCGTGGTGCAGATGAATCCACTCATTACCTTCATCTTGATCGCCTGACTAAATTTCTTAATTGCTTCATTGAATCTTCCTTCTTCGCTTTTCACGACTATCTACCACTTTAACTTTCTTCCTCATTTCTCTAAATTTCAACTTAATATCTTCTAGCTTGATGTGCCTGGATAAGTAACAATATGGACCGTCATGCAATAATTCAACGTCCTATATTCATGTAGATTGGCTGACAAATCCTTACACACAATTAGTTTGACTCGTAGCCTATCAGGTTGAGTGGCATATCCGCTCGATTGTAATCGCATGAAGACTGAAATAACCAGACAACAGTATTTAATGATAATAATGATGATAAATAATCAATCAATTCCAGAAAGTACAATGCATAACATTAATGTCCACTTACCGGCAAGGTGAACGTTTTGAAAGATAATTTACAAAGGCAGCCGCCTGTGAGCGTGTGCTGAAAAAGAAGTCAATACCTCCTAAAAGTTAGAAGAAAAAACAGTGGTGAAAACTATGTTACTATGACAGTAAGGGCTTAGTGCGAAAGTCTACTTTAGGTGAACTACTTGAAACAAAAATTTAACTTTATTATATTATGAGAACAAATTGGAACCAAAATTAGATATACTTTTCGTATTGTTCTAACGTAAGATAGTATGTAAGATGTGTTAGTCTAGTCTGTAGTCCACACTCACTATGATGGATACTCAGGAAGACTGTCAACTAAGAGTAGTGAATATACAAGTGAACGCTAGTAAACAACACCACTTGATCTCAAAAAGTTTACCAAACACTATACTAAAAAAGTAGGGGGAAACTAATCAAAATTTTTAACCGTTACCTCTTTATCTGGTTTCTGTAAAACGAATAGTTAGTCCCTTAGATATTCGACATCACACACCTTCGATATTGGTTACTCAGTTAGACCACTTATGTGCTGTTTCTGATTCGAAGGCTATTGGTTCATGAAATCCAGTTTTAAAAAAACCTATATTCTGTAGCTATTCAAGAATGTCTAATCACCTACGCTTTGCAGAAAATCACTTGGATAATGCTTTTGTCAGTTATACGCAAAGAGAGTAGCGATACTTTGCGTAATCAAATCTCCCGAACAAACATATCACAGATACATGCGTTTTTCACAACCTGATGAGAGTAACTACCATATACTTGAAGGGGTAAGGATAAAAAACTTTTGGGCTTGAAAAGTATGTACCCTTAGTTTAAACCACCTTACTTGCAAGCAAATTTCACCAATACCAACTATAATGACTTAAAAAAGATAACTTAGTGACGTAGTGACAGATGATATCTTGATTGAGGAACGGTTTAAGAAGCGAAACAATTTAATTCGATATCCCAAATTAAAGGGGCTGTGGTTTTACTTGATTACCCAAACCCCAGTAGGAAAAATGCGGTTCGGACACAGGACCTATTGGTTAAATTTTGAGTACCTGATCCAATGTGTTAAAAATCAACAAATTGCCAAATTATTAAAGACTACAAAAAGCTACTTGACAGTGAATTGAAACGCCATGCATGTACCAATTGTTTGTATTGAAGGAAAATTGATTGTTCGCAAACGTCAGTAGAGTTTTTTGTAACTTGGATCAAAACACTTATAATCTAGTTTAGGCTACCTAATTCAGATGACGCAAAGAAACCTATTGATGACAAAATAATGGATGATTTGATCAATCTTAGAAAATACCACCGAACATCCATTCTAGTGGTTCATCACGTGCATGTATCGTTCGTAGACCAGTGTGCGATAAAACACAGAACTAGAAAACATAAATACATAGTAATAACAAATGGTTTACCGTGTCCTGAGCAATGGAACAAAAAAGAAACAAAGAATTAACAGATGGCATAATTCTTAAAGGAAACTATTACGTGAAACAGCTTGGATTCCCGACCCAATGTTTGATAGTTAAATGCTTAGAGTAATGAAAAATCACCATAGAACCACCTAGGCAAGAAAGTTTACTGACACAATCAGAAAAATCATGAAAACTAGGAGACAAAAATAAATGAAAACTTGATCTTACTAACATCCATTACATATCGTTGAATAAGGAAACAACGCAAGTATCTACCTGAGACTTGCTTAATACTGGAGCAAGTTTTGTGCATACCAGAACGAAGAATAATTTGTTCTAAGTGTAACAATGTCTTTTTGTGATCCACCTACAAATAAAATATACACATTTAACCCAGTGTTCTACATAATAAAATTAATGAGTGAGGTCACATCCATTAGTGTATCAATGACAAAAAGTTAAATAAGAGTTATGCGAGTAGATATCGCTGGCAAACACCTACTACTTGTCATGAAGTCAGAATTTGAGTAAGCCTTAGCATAGCTGTGTGAATCGAAATATATAGCCTCAATTACCAATATAAACTTGTTCAATAATCCCTTTGCAATCAAACACTATAACCTCGATCGACAGAGTCGAATAGTACTCATAAATTAAAAAATACGGCGTGTAGGATGTCATTAAGTGTATCTGAGTTCCAAAACTTGTTGAAGGATGAAGATCAGATCAGGTCTGAAGTTTGTCCGATTTTCTCGAACATGCTGTTGAGTTAGATATGGAGTGGCTGCAGGAACTAGGAACATAAACACGATACCAGCCAAACTAATTTTCGCTTAGTTATCAGAATATTTATCAATTTTCCTACAGACTAGAATGGTCAACAATCTAGACCAATTTGATGGCAATATTTCTGAACCCATAGCAGTAGATAGTACCTCAGGTATTCTGAGTAGTAATTACTAACCTTCATCCTTAACGGCTTTTCATGGCAAACTCAGGTCTTACTGTTATACCTTGTTTGAAATCTGTAAGTCATTTTAACTTCAGTGGAAGCTGAAGGAGCTAGATCAGTGTCCCATTCAGGTCAAGGATGGATACCGAGCAAATAAATTGATTGCCGGCCAGTGGAATAGCCCTTCAGAATGCCTTTTAACGTTGGAGTCTCGCGTTAAGAGATGCTACAAAAGATCTGGTTTCATCGGTAATCTTCTCGCTGACTATAACCATTATTTGACTAGCTTCAATAACAAGTTTGAATAATTACTACTGAGTCAGTTAGAAATTACTAAGTATTATCTGACGCCGATACTTTTCCCACCTCTTTCGCCCGCGCCATCCACCACTGACTCTTAGTCATCATGAAGACTCTCAATAAGTTCATACCTTAACTGGTGGGATGGTGCTGGAGGGATGCATTGAGGTCTACTTACCTTTGGAAGTAGGTTACTGAGTGTCTTCGTCAGTTTCTACACCAGACTGAATATTACCCCAGGTTTCATCACGATAAGAATCGCTGCCATGTTCAATGAAATGTCAACTTGCTAAACAAATATTTTACTCCAGACAAAGAGGTTTTCCAACTGTTCATTTCCTGTGTCCATTCAGGAGTAGACAGAAGTGAGCTTGGATAAACGCATGCTTTAAGTTCAAAAGCAGTGGCGATTTTGCATCGATCATATCTAACAATAACTGACAGAAATATGATCCATTTGTGTTTATCGCCAGTTTAATGTCGCAATCCATTAAGAGAAACAATGTTCTTCCTCACCATCGGGACAAAATTGTAGCAGACGGTGACCGTTGTTAGTCTGTCGTCGTCAGATTGCGTAAATACCTCCAAAAGTACCCTCCCAATTAACCCATCTTTACTTGAGTATCGAAGTCCCCTGCTAGTATGATCACATCGAAACTTTTCGCCTTCCTTAGCAAAGAGCAATAGTTTTTAATCCACAAAGAAATTCAAAACTCAGAATGTATTGGTGTTTTAGGGAGACTATGCGTTCGAATGAGATTCATCCACGATATATCCGACACCTCCGATCAATACAGTTAACTGGTGTATCCCTTTTTCAACTCATTCGGAACTCAGATGTTTGATTTCACTAACCAACAGATCGTTTCAGAAGCGAATGTTTGTTAACTGGCTGTCATATTTTAATCATTTTCTGCTCATGGGTGTCGATGTCAGTTAATCTACAGGTGTCGATACGAAGATGAGTATGGGAGTTAACTGATGGTACTTTTGTCTTAGAAGTTAACTGCTGATATATACGGACGTGACCCTATATCAGTTACCATGACCTACTAATGATTCATATACGGCATAACCTCATCATAAGATAATGTCAACTGCCGATCAACGATTTATAGTCACGAAAGAAAACAAGACCTGACATAAATTTTGCTCCTGTTTTCATGAATGAAGTTTCCTAGCACTTTTTGTCCCTTGTTATCATAGTATGATGTGTTGTTCACAGCTTTCACCTAATGAGTATTCTAGAAGAGAGTTGCCAGTTTGAAAAACATTCATACAAAAAAAGTAACCAATGGATAATTGCAACGGAAGCTCGTCCTTCTTACCCTTTGCGTCAAATCCGTTCCGATTAGACTTAGTCTTATCGTTAAACAGTGGATGGTCAAGCAGATATAACTAGTGCCATTACATCAAAAAATGTTGTAAATTAACAACCACTGTCTGTTACGAAGACTTTTAGTGAATAATTGTGATAGAATGCATCGAAAAAGATTTCAAGCGTACTGATACTACACCTTTAGCCTTATGTACTATTTTCGAAAAATCATGTTAAGATACATGAATGATTTGGCGATTGAAAGCGATATACATTTTGGATCATAGTTACGTTTTTTTGGTCAAAAAGCGTGACAGAGACGTTAGGTTCCAGCGGAAAGAAAAGTATAACAGTTGTTATCGAATATATTGGTGAAGCTGACTGACTCCAAAACGAGGAATAAGGTAAAAAAAAATATCGCGGTAGCTGGAAAAAGTGTAAAGCAAATACCGTCAATCTATATAAATGACATCACTAGTCAAATAACTACAGATTCTTACACCATATAATACAACCACAGTTCAAGAGAAACCAAAGGATATTATGGAATAGGGAAACCTTATAAATATACCGTACAGGGAGTTGTTTGTCTATTTACTTCTGGGCTTTTTTTAAAACCCGTCTCCATCAGTACTTCTAGTGAGAAAGACAGGATCTAATGTAAAATCAGTACTCAGAAATCACATAGTAACCGAGGGGGACACGTAGAGTTGTAACTAAGTCATCTCGTCCAAGACTTTAAACTAGGGTATGAACCGTACTTATAGAATGAAAGCTTATAGCACTAATCCATTGTACAGGCAAACGTAGCTGGCATCGAACCCACGATCCACTGTTTGGAATTCAAATGCTTAAGCCAATGGGCAACATTTCTGCTGGCGGTAACGAGAACTATGCATGAAGTAGACAGTTTGCATTAACGTACATTAGTTTATTATTAGTTGATATATATACCCTGTCAAAAATGTTCTTTACAGGAAACAAAATTACCTTTTGACGAACTTGAACACAGGCATTCCAATAATCTTTGGCAGCACTACGAGTACATGAAGTACATTGTTGTGAGTGAACTGCGAAATCAATCAGAATCTGCTGCTCAACGCGATCACCAGTTTGCAAAGCACCATGTACAGTTACCTAGACAAATATTTACAGAATACGTTGTATGAAAGCTCCCATTGTTCCATGTCTTAATGTTCACATGACCAGCTGCAGGCAAATTTCATGCACAATTTTTAAAGCAAAGGACTATGAGCTATTAAACTTTATTCTTACTTTATTTTCATTGCCTATGTATATAGGCTTAAAATGAACTAGAAATTAAGAAACATCATCAGTTATTTAGCCGTATATCATTAGCTTTTCAAATTAATTCCCCCGTTACATCACGTTCAGTCTTTAGTAATATATCCATTTTCAAAAATTAGATCTGGATATTCTCAGAACTTGGTGTATTTCTTTACAAAGAATAACATCATTATGATAGCAGTTTCATAGAACAAATGCTTCATTTTGCATTACATCAACTTTCTATCACTTTTTTCATTTCTATTACAGCCTCTACTTACAGGTTATCTAAATGTATAAAATTCTTTGACATATATGATTTATAATGGGACTGTAAACTATATCATTAGGCCCCATACTCATAGTTGGATACAATACTTGAGTCGCTAAACAATACCTGTTTAGTGGATTCAGTATGCCCACAGTAGTTTAGCTTACAACTCTGTTCAGTAATACAGGATCAGTAACACGAAATATAAAAAAAACTGAAATATAGTGGGTGTATATGCAACCAGCTGATGGAAAGGGTATGGAAAAAACGAATGGTATACCATGGAATCTCTACGAATGTATCCAGTCATAATGCTGTTTGTAGATAATGAGATATTGTTGCCATCGAGTTGGTATATGACTGCTGTATGATACTGGACCTGGTACAACTCAGTCTAAAATTTTACTGTGGAACAATCAGCAGTGAACTTTCTAGTTTTTACTGAAGTGAGGCGGTCGCGAGTATGCGCCTAATGTGAACTGGAGCAGCAAATACTTTGATAAAACATTTTTCTCCCCGGTAATTACTACTCCTGACAAAGTTGACGAGAGCAAAATGCTCCAGATTGGTACAGCTATGTTTCGACGGTTTTCATAATATAACGTTTAACATGAATACTGCGATACTGTTATACATGTATGTGCAAACAAAGAATTGATATCCAGCTTAGTTGAAACTAATATAGATATTTCTAGAGACTGATATTCCCTAAATTGATGTCCTGCGAATAGACAGTTCCAAAACCTCAAATGAATACATATCAGAGGGTACAACTACGGGTGAACTATTCAAGTAATAGAATATATCTTCTGAGGTAAGTTTTCGCTCATGTACAAAAGATTTGGTGTAACATAACTTCAAACTGTTCATCAGGTAGCAGACAATTAACCAAGGGTAGCATAAATTACGCTGCATAATCAATTATTTTTGGTACTAATGTTTGTGGAACTTTACTTCTATCATTTACGACACTAAGCATTGTCCCAAATTGAACGATGAATGTGCGAATTATTTGCAAATTAGACAGTTTATGTTAACATTTTTCAACTGCCCAACTGTAGTGTCAACAGGTTCCCTATTGAAAACCAACCTATGATACGACCTCTGACACGAAAGCGTAGGGAATATATTGTGAACAACATGAGTAGTTAGAAACTAATCAGCTGATATAAACAACTCGGCATTGTGCTCTTGTATGCTGCTAATGAGCTCGACTACAAACGATCAACGTGTGCTTTGTAACTACTAATGCTGTTCAGAAATATAAGGTGTAATCCTCTTATTTTTTCTATTAGATAAGAAGTAGCGGATTTATTATTTACTAGATGATCTTCCGCAGACAAATTACTGACTAAGTGATTCCGAAGGCTCTGATTTAGAATCAAAGAACGAGAAAAGTATTAATACCTTCATAGGAGCAATAAGTAGTCCTAACAAGTATACCGTCAACAAAGCTAAATCAATGCCTAATATCAAATAAACCATACTTCAGACCCTTTCTCAAAAATGTGGTGACGGTAGCGTGACTGTACCATAGTGGATATCTATACTAACTTAAAATTAAAGTCAGAAGCTTATAATATAATCTGCATACTCGAAAAAAATTGGAAGATTTATATCTTTGACATGCTTCAGCTTCATTATGATATTTGTTGACATTCAAAGTTTAAGTAAATTAATACTGCTGGTTCACTAGGGAATGCACTAGTCTTTAGTAACGTAATGTGATTCTTCGGTATAGTTTTGGGGGAAGCAGTTTTAGAAGAACTAGATTAATTGAGTTGAATCATTCGTTAACACTTTTTCAATCTATTCAGTCTTGCCTAACCCACAAGCATATACCTAATTATTCAATGTTTGCTTTGTTTTAGCTTCTCGTCACCTTTTGAAACAACAAGCAAAGGTTATTAGGTATCAAAAAGTTGGGATAAATACGTTGAATTTTGTGTACTGTGCAATAAATCAATGTATTCACATATGGGGAAAAACAAACAAGTAAATATTAGCATACTAAATAATGAGTCAAATCAAATGTCAACCACGATACGATTGAACCCGTGACCGCCTGTTTGAAAGTAGGATATCCAATCCGATAAGTCACAGCTCCATATACCCAATGATCACTTATAATTTCTGCTAACATTTAAAGCAATAACATTCTTTGGGCTTTGATCAGTTAGTTAGTACCATTATCTCATATTATAAGTGTGACACAGCCTAATGCACATACCTACACATAGTTCAATCTTCTCTCATACAACACTTAAAGTGGATGTGACCATTCCTAGCATCTCAATAAAAATTAGTGTCAATGAAGAGCAGAAATAGATATTAACATACGTTGTAGTTTTTGGAAGCTTCTCAAAGAACATTTCAAGAAAACAAGGCACGTGGAATTCTACTACTGTAGCTAACGTCCTGCATTTTGTACATTTCATTCCTAAACCTTATATTTTCAAAGCATCTCTACCAAAATATTTACGGACAGTTAATTTGAACAAAATTTGAAGCGTTGAAGCATCAGCCATACCGTTTTAGCGTACTGAATACCTCTTACCTAAGGTGAGATGTCCGGGAAGCTGTACTCGTCGAGTGGTGTCCGTCAAGACCGCGCACTGTCTCCATTCTTATTCGCTCTTATCATAGATATTCTTATGGAGGTCTCCCTCTCGTCACCTGACTACACAGAGGTCAACCTGATCGCAGGAGAATTTTCGTCAGACCTAGAATACGCAAATGACATAGTCCTGTTAAGTAAAGACTTTGCCAAGATGCGGAATCTTCTGGACACTTTAAGTAGCGATGTAGACTAGCCAGTTGAAGTCCGTGGAACAAAAGAAGTCAGTGGTTGGAAACTCTAGGCGATGTGGCTGAGAACCAATGTCAGTGGCGCAGATGTATACATACATTGTCCTCATCTTAACAATATACCGAATCTCATCATTCTCTCATTCCTCTGTTCTCTCATTTAGTACTTTATCTTCCTCTTGACTGAGTTTTCTTTTCTTCATCTTCCACTTCACTGCCCTTTTACTTGATGTACTGATATGAGCTGGGGCAACTCAGGTCGTTGTGCAGTAATACCTGTTCCTATATCGATTTGGATGGATGATTATCAGTCACTTATGTATTTTTCTAATATCACTTGTATTTACAGCATAAATTTAACTTATTTTGACCTGGTACTACTCTACTTATTCAGTGCTTATCCTGATAATCCATGTAATTATTATAGGCAAAACTGCTGTCCTGTCTCAATTTTATACTTTCATTGTATCGTCCTTAAAGTTTGAACCAGGTATTGTTTTCTTTGGATTATAGACGCCAAAAAACGCAACCTAGTTGTATAACAGTAAAGTCTACTTTTAGAATTCAGGTGAACAGTGAAAGTCTCTCCAAGTCTATTGGTCCTATAGAAAGAAGTACGACCAGACATCACAACAAACAAAATATTACCTCTATGGATATTTTTCTGCTATGAGGCTCTGTCCAGATGAACCTGGCACTTCGAACATCCAAGCCCTTTTTAAGCCCCCGAATCCTTTTGATACATAATGCCAGTAACTCTGGTGACTCCGGTTCGGCACAGATCCAGTTAGACGGTGGACTCAAATAACTGAAAAAATAAAATGATAAAGATACAACTTACCGTTCACATTTTGGACAAAACGTTACAGTGTTTTGGCGATCAATATGAGCAGCGATATCTGCATCGCTTGATAGGCATGTGAAACACATATTTGCAGCATTTGAATGTATTTGAACGCCACATTTACAGCAGAGACTACATTAAAAGGAGTAAGGGTTTCTTCTGCAATCAACTTACATAAAAGATAATTTCTGATCACCCATGTTCTAAGCCCAGAGACCCTGGTGTGTTACGGTTTATAATACAAGCAAGACTTGAAGCTGAATGTGTTCCAAGATGGTGCGGGAATTCCGGTCGAGCAGTGCCAAAAATCACGAAAGGTGATGCGACTATCATTAAATACGAAAAAAGAATTAATCAGATGTGGAATATGTCAATATCTTTCAAACTAAATGAAACACATTTACTCAGAAAGGTGAAAAAAATAAAGCAACAGATTTGTGAATTAAAGCGGATAACTTTACTGACCAAATGCTCCCTAAATTAAATATTTCAGTGAATGTCACACAAAGCTATCCGATCACCTTGTCTCACCACTGCTTCCCAAACACTTTCACTACTACTTCATGATCACCTTCACCGTCCAGTTTTTAATTTTCAGGCAGCTGAGAATATAAAGAAATACATTTGGTCCATCGAGTTTTGCAAAGCTGTTCGCTCTTACTTTAGTAGAGGTAACCATTTAAGGTCCCACTGGATAGCAGTCAACGGAATGGTAGCTAGATTCCGGTCGGACTGTTCCTCGAGGCGTTACGCCCATCGTTCTAGTCGTCTCCCCTACGAGTGAATCGCAGACATCATTCTCTACTAATCTTATTAACCTTTTCGTCCCGGTTTCATTGTTAGGTCTAAATAACCGTCTACTATTACCTATCGCCGTCACCTTTTTGTTCTCCTTAGCCTTCACCACCGCTCAGTTTATGGTCATTACGTAGACTTTCTGTCAGTCTACATTTGAGTTGCTTGTGCACCTAATTGTGCTCGGAACCTGCAGGTGCACCCACTAAATCAGAAGTTGTTAAGATCTAGTGACTTAAAACCACTTTCTGAAAGTCAGTTACGGTCTTCAAAACTGCTATTACAATAGACTGGAGGTGGCGTCGGGTTTCTTCCGCATGAGTGATGTTCTGTACCGATAAGTGTTTAGCCAGTTTCTTACTGAAAGTAGCCTTAGTATTCTTATTGTCAAGCAGTATTAACAATAGTCTTGGTGTTAAAGTTTGCCCACATGCATCCAGGTGCAAGAGGGGGAGGCCTCGAACTAGCGCGTGATTGCTACCCAAACACGTGTACCATAAGGAGCACCTGAGTGCCCTTCTACCAGATAGACAAACTCAACGTAGAAACTCGCACAAAAGTGAATCGGTCCAAGTTGCAATACTTTACAGAAGCATGCAACGAACAAGCGGATAGGCAAAGACTGATATCTAAGTAGACAAAAGTGCGTGGAGGGAACGGAATTCAAAAACGAAGGTTAGTTAGAACTTTCAAGCTCCAGAAGAGGTCAAAGAGTGAATACACCTCCCCCATTAAAACCAATTTTCAGCCACGTCACCCAGATTCCTCAACCATATTTATTGTCTTGAGGACACCAGCCAGGTAGTCTACATCAATCAATAGTACGACTTCACTCCCAAACACCCGCCATATCGTGTTACCATTATCCAACTGACTTTTTCGGCATGATAAGACCTCGGGAAAACAGATGCTCCGATTAGTGTAGCTTGCTGGGTCATCGTGATATGGAACTCTGACCACTACATCGAAGTAGCAGCTATCAGATGGGAATAGTCCAAGTCCACACCACGTCAGTACATCAGGTGAGAAAGTACTAAGACGAAAGTTAAAGAAATAAGGAAACAAGCAGTCAAAAGTAGTAGAAAGTAAAAACTATAACTAAGTAACGAAAGGATAATGCTGTAATTAAGATATATCCGGGTCCATTGATCTTAAATGACAAAATGTATCATACTGATTACTCATCTACTAAGACGAATTAGCAGCTACATGAATTGTATTTGCAACTTTATTATTACTATTATTTGTCCCTTGGGTTCCTAGTGGAACATAGGGCTTCAGTAGCACGTCACCATTTCACTCTGTTCTCTGCAGTCTTCTCAACCTGACTCCACGACTGCCCACAAGCTTTCATTTCTTCCTCACATGATCTCATCCATGTCGCCCTCGCCTAGGACGCCTAACTCATTTCCCACTTGGATTCCACTCGACAACCTGGCCTGGCACCTGATGTCTCCGAATGGTTTTCTAAGTGTATGCTCAACCCATCTCCAATTTCTTCTGCATATTTGTTGGGCGATAGGTTGTTGGTTGCTTTGTTGCCAGTCATCTGGCTACCTGACCTTCAGTATCGAGTGAGTGTAGGCGCCAGCTGTCGATGAATGTCTATAGTTTGTTGAAAATGCTTTTTGTGACGTGCCAAGTGTTTGAACCATCACACAAAAGCACTAACTTACTTGATTGACATTGTTGTTTAAAATCCGGATGTTGTTCACGCTTCATGCTGAGTGCAGTAGATCTCCACACTGGTTTCAGATTAATGAAGACCTGTCTTTCTTTTTCAATCCTGGCTTTGACATCCTCATCTGTGCCGCCGGTAGTTTGAACGATGCTGTCTAGGTAGGTGAAAGAGATTACTTTCTTCAGGTTTCTCCCGTTAGTGGTGATTGGTGCTTGTTATTGATGTTGTTGGTTGGGTATCTTCATCACCTGTCTTCTTTACACTCACTTGAAGTCCCATTTTCCCTGCCTCTTCGTCAACTTATTGGCTTTCACCTGATCTCACCATTCCTCGGCTAATATGGAATTTGGCGCTGAAGTAGTATGAACAATACGTAACGAAACAACTCTAGACAGTAAATGTTTACAGACCTAGCGATTAACCTGCACTTTCTGCCTAGTGTCGCGGGTATAACCTAAATACTCCTTACACGGCCTCACCACACACCAACAATACTGTAAAGATATCTATAGTTAAAAATCTGTAGGTTCATCCGATCTACCTCAAACCCCTGTCCCACGGACATACAGCAGGAGAGACGACTGTTATGCAGTTAACGTTCTCTTTTGTGTAGTTGCAGATACCTCTTCAATGATAGAGTTGGTGTGTATGATTGATATCAAACAGACTTTGAAAACCAAACCAAGATTTTGATAGGAATCAATACATGTCTTGGTCGTTGTATTACACCTAAGTATGAACCCCTTGAATTACTTGTGCTTTACAAGTACATGGTACATTATTGATTCATAAAAGCTATTCGAATCGAAGAAATGGGAAAAAAGTGATGTCCTAAATGAGGTTTAAAACTAGGATAATATGCTGAGGTTGTCCAAGTTTGGAGTATGCATCATGTTAGGCTATACAGATGTAGAATGAGGTGGCTACAGATACAGTAAGAACTTTATTGCAAGATACAGTACAATCATGTCTTACTCATAGCTCTAATTCCAGAAAGAAAAATAAGGAAAAAAACATAGCTTATATATTTCCGAGAGATTCGGAAAACAGGTTTTGAAAACTGCTTCAGTGAAGTTGGCAGAATGTTTCAATGCGACATGCACCACCGTGGAATTCGACTGTGCAACAATATATTTTTACATAACTGATTATGGCACTCTGAGTTTTAACACATTTAGCCCTGTATAAATAGTGAGCCTGAACTATTGCAAGTAAATGCACAAGTCAACCTTCCTGTATGATCATTTTTTGAGTTGTTTGGAAAATAAACAAAAATGTTTCACTTGGATCACTCACATGATATGACTGCGACCCTAATGTACGATACAATACCGCATGTGACTGTACCGAGAACTTTCAAAAGTGCAAGACCTTGAAATGATGCAATATTTGATATCTGTCTAGCACAAACTAATTAGTTTCTTGTGACAAAAACATAAACGTTGTGAGGTGATTCCATGTCATTGATCAATTCTGTTTCAACAGATTAAGTCATATGTGGCTTTCAGCTCTGATAAACACTGCGGGTGGCTTGGAGTCGGAAAGTGGTGTAGACATACTGTCGAAGTAACGTATGACGAAACGGTCGTCTTGGCTGGTTGCAATAAGAAGATAACTATATTCAGACGGCAATCTGGTAGAATGAGAGGAAGAAGGATGAGGGAAAAAAGAAGAAACAAACTAAAAGTTAAGATCTGGGAAATTTCACTGTCAATTTAGGATTTCGAATGGTTCGCAATAATTCGACTCAAGTGGTAGAGGGATGGCATCGCAATGAACGATGTCCTAGTAATGTAGCTGTGAAATGCCTTTGGAAGCCCTCTACTTTGTATGGACACCACTCAGTATAAATGAACAGTATTCTAACAGTGGACGTGTGCAAGTTTTGTAGAGTAGCAACTTGACTTCTTTGAAATGGAAGTTACGAACTATGCAACCCATCAGGATCCTAGATTTGCGAGTCTGTGATGCTACCTGTCCAGAAAATGTGAGGTCCCTTGAATATCTTAGTCCAAGGTCACATACACTTTCAAGAACAGGAAGCTTCGTAGACTGAAGTTGCACTTGGATATTCACCGATGGGGCACCGAAACATATCCAGCCACATTTGCCTATATCGAACTGAAGTCTTCAAGCAACAGACTATGCGGATATTATATCGAGCTCCCTTTGTATTAGTGCCTGGAAGTGGGATAAGTTATTACAGGTGAACATGTATGCAAATCTTAGGTCATCAGCAAAAAAGAATAGTTTACCGTATGTGAAGCAGCTGCAGATGTCACTGACGTATAAAGTAAAGAGAAGGGGGCCTAATACACTGCCTTGAACAACACCAGAGGTGACTGGCCTAGGTTTTGAAGTGTGTGAATCAACCTTCACCACTTGAGTGCGATTACTGAGGAAAGACTTAATCCATCCCAATAGTGGATAGTCAATTCCCAGGGTCATCAACTTACTTATTAACGGCAAGTGATCGACTCTGTCGAATGCCTTTGAAATGTCTAAATAGAGTATAAGGACTAATTGGTGTCGGTCGCTCATAGTGGTTATGAAGTTAAAGAAGTCAAGATGGTAAGTTATACTGGACCTCGATTTTAGGAACCCATGTTGACTCGATGTTATGATGTTGCCACTAGGCATGTGCTAAAGAATGCTTTCTTTAATATCTTTCCCCACAAATCTAGAAACTACAGGCGTAATATTTATTGGTCTGTAGTTACTGGC